CAGATGTGCAGCCCTGAGCTGGAACCACCTGTCCATTGGGAGGATCACATGTGCCTCCTTTTTGTCTGTCTATATGTCCCAGCTTTGCCCCACATCTCCTTTCCTTTTTCTTTTCTTTCTTTTTAAAATTTTTTATTTTTCTTTCTTTCTTTATTTTAACATGACCTAGGTTTTTATTGGTATTTCACCTCAGAAACTTGAATCCACAGATATAAGCAGTATATAACCAGAAAGTTACAAGTAAACACAGATAATACATGCAAATTTCTGTTCACAAAGGTCACATGTGCAGGTATATGGATTAGAAGCGTGCGTTTAGATTATGGCCAAACTGTTTTTAAATGCAGAAATGTAAAATTACATCTTGAAAATATGAAAAGATGGTCTACACACTTCAAAAATCAAATGTTGCTTATACCAGATGTATGACAGCTACAGGATTCAAGTGACAAGCAATAAGGTCTATAGAAATTAATACTGGTCAAAGAGAATGAGAATATTTTTACATTTCACTGAAAATACATTGACTACTAGAATACGAAATCTAGCAGAAACTTAGGGGAAAAATTACAAAATCTAATGCCAGTTACTTAATATTTCTTATTACCTAAACAACAGCATAACATTAAAAGAAAACTGCACCTGTATTTTAATTGCTAACTTCAGTTAATGAAGTTACCAAAAAATGAAATGCAATAAAAAAAAGCTTCAAACGCCAAATGAAAAGTCTGCAAGGCTCAGATTAAAAGGTGGAATGTTTCAGATGAAAAGTAATAAAAATACAACTGGTTTTGTTCTTTATTGAATGGAATCGAAAGTTTTGACATTTCTTTGAAGCTTAGAACTACTAAATTTCATTTCTTTGAATAGTTCTACGTATCATTTTTTTAGTGGTGCAAGTTGTCTCAAGTAGCTTACAAGAACTATTATTTTCCTTGAAATCGTTAAGCTTCTTGCACATCTTAAGCTTCTTTCTTCTGCCTGTGTTCTTCTGCCAATTTATTCATAAATTTCTTTAATTTCTGATAATGAGGAAGGCTGCTGCAATGAGTATTCTTTGCAACTTCTTCATTTGTATAAAAGAGTGAACACAGCTTACAGTAAAACCCTGTTTTAGGTATCACATAGTCTATACCTAGAACACAAACATATATTCTTACAAATTCAGTAAACTGAGTAATTTAGTGTTCTCAAATGTTATTTTTGTGTGAGAAGTCCAAATGGCCTAAGCTAAAACAAAATCCAACAACAAAAAATGACATTAGTTAATAGTTGTATTTAATTGATGTTCAAGGTCCCACCTAATTATACTCTTAAAAAAGGCAGAAACATAACAGGTAAACAAAACAAAAAGCCAGTGAAATTCTTAGAAAGCTTTGAGAAAAGAATACATTTCTGTAATGATAACAAAAGATAATACAAAATCAGGAGGCTTGGGTAAGAAAAAAATGTTTCAATTAAGATTAACAAATTGTTCTATACAGAAATAAATAAAATGCTATCAGAGCTTATGTAAGACCAATTTTAAAATCTTATATATGAGTTTGGGAAGGGTGAGAGGGGAAGAACAAAACCTTAAATCTCACCAACAGGAACATTGGGTTGATAGGGTCCAATTCTATACTCATCTGGGATTGTATAGTCCTCCTTGTTTTCATCACTTTGGCCATCTGCATTCTCACTTGTATCTTTGTTGGGATCATCAGCATTCTCAGCAGATTCAGCACCTGGTTCCGTATTTTCCTCATTTTTAATTCCATTTTCCAACACTGCTTCATTTTCTTGATCAAGTTCCTCGATCTTGTCCACCTTAATTTCAACCAAACCATCATCATTTTTGTCACCAGATTTAAATGCCATGCCCGATTTACGAAGTTTCTGAAGTTCCGAATCTTCCTCATTACCAACCTCATCTAGAGTGGCAAAACCTTCCATATTCCCTGGGAAACGACGCTTTTTAAGCTTCTTCTTTGCAGCTGAAGCACTTGCATTTCCATCTTTTTTCACAGCTTTGTCTGAAGGTTCCTTTTTCCCATCAGAAGTCACATCACCTAAATTAGCGAGATCTGTCTCATCTTCCACTGAACTGCCACTTTCTAGCAGTGCTGCTGCTTCTTCATTTACCAGTAGCTCATCTTCAGATTCTAGAAGCATGCGGGGTTCTTGTTCTGCCTCGTCATCTTTTGTATCTTTTTCACCATCTTCACCTGACTTTTCTTCTAGTTCTTTACCTTCAGTTGTACCTTCAGTCTTCTGGGAACCATCAGTTTTGGATTTCTTATCGCTTGGAGATTCTTTGCCATCTGGAGAATAAGATCTTTTTTGGGATTTATCTTTTTTCAGCAAGTCATTGCCTCTGTTAGGAATCCTTAGTACCAATTTTTTGTATTTTTTGGACAGGTCAACTTTCACACATCTCCCCTCAAACCAAAGGGCCTTTTCCAAACAGTGGTCAACCATTGCCATAGCATCTTCTCTGGTCTCCATCTCAATAAAGGCCTGACTTTTCATCCTCATCAGTATATAATTCTTTATTTTCCCATAAGGCTCAGCAAGCTTAAGGACAGCACTGTCAGAATAGCCAGAATGAGGTAAGTTGCTGAGATGTATCACACGTCCAAGCTCCTGCTTCTGATCAAACTTCTGGTCTGGTTTCCCTTCTGGTTTCTTTAATTTAGTAAATAGGAAAAAAGGGCATGTCAAATGTTGGTAGGTACACTATAATTATTAGTTAATATTATCCTAGTTATTAGCAACAATTTAAAGTAGCTAAAGTTAATTAAAATGATATATTAAATGAATGGCAATATAAATCTGAAAAAAAGACATTTACCTTTATTCTTTTATACTTCTGGGATAAATGGACTCTCACTGGCTTGCCAAATACTAATGCTGGTGTGGTTGTGTAATAATCCACTGCAGCCTGAGCATCTTCTGTGGTTGCCATTTCAATAAATGCCTCATTAATTTTCTTTAAAATCAGATGATTTGAAATGACTCCAAATGGTTCCACCAGCTGTAATAATTGATATCTCAAGTTTTTCCCTCTCTGGAAATCCATGATGTGAACAACTCGGCTAGTTTCCACTCTGCCTTTTTGCATGTGTCTTGGTCCTTGCAGGTTCCCATTTCCAGCACCCAGATTTCCTCTTGGTCCAACTGCTGGCCCCCCAAGATGAAACGAGGGAGGCGGAGGCCCCAAAATTCCTGGTGCTGGGTTTGTAGATTGTTTTAACATGAAGGGATCACCCATTGTGTGTCCTGTATCATTGTGAGGGTTCCATTCTGGGTAGATTTCAAGCAGCAGCTGGCATCGACGACTGTGACTTGCTCCATTGATATGTTGACTCCACTCCTTATTAGAATGAACTGGCAAATCACATATAGAGCACAGATGGGGATAACCCTTCGGTGAGAGTCCATGGAAGTCTTCAATATTGCTACTTGGAGGAGCGCCCCTCTTTTTCTCAAAGAGAGATCTCTCTTGTAAGGGGCCAGGACCATGTCCCATTCTCTCATACTCACTGTCAAATTTATGATACTTATGCGAGGTCTTACCAGAAAAAGAATCATCCCTATACCTTTCTCCATCTCTTAATCTGTCATCTTCATAATCCATTCTGTCATAATAACCAGATTCTTGAGAACGACTTCCATGGTCATAATCAAGCACTGGGTTGAGACTAGGCCCACGATCATCAAAACTATCTCTTCTAAAGTGCCTTTTTTCTTTCCAATCACCCCTAGGTACTCTGTATGGTGGCTCCCGTGTAGCAGATCTGCCATCTCTACCATAACTCAATGTAGGGCCTTCTTCAGTTCTCCTCCTTTTAAGGGGTAGAAGGATTTGGGGCAAATTCTCAGGAGTTATCTTGTCCTCTGGATAACGACTCAGTTCATCTAAGTCTCTAGCAGACAGACCAAAGCTGGCCAAAATGTTACTGGCCTGGTCTGCATCTCCACGGTGTTGAGAAGACAAAGGGAGTGGACCTGTACTTCCAATGTTAAATATAGACTGCAAATTATGGGAAGAAGTACTAGCAGAAGACAGTGCACTATGAGCTCCTTGTTGATTCAATGAAGAACTCATTCCAAGATTCATTAAACTAGCAAGGCGTGCAGTACCCTGGTTCATCCTTCCAAGAGATGCTGGCATAGTTAAAGACTGGGTAGCAGCAGCAAGAAGGCCTATTCCTGCTGCAGACAGGTCACGCCCATGACCCTGCATGTTGTTACCGAGAGATGACTGCTGGAATGACTTGGACATTGTAGAATTATCTCTTGGCTAGTTTATAGATTAAACAAAAAAATTTTTTTTTAAAAGATAGCCAAAAAGAAAGCTCAAACTAGAAAACTAGATTAACTGTGCTTCAAAAAATGGTAACGCCAAGAAAAAGGATCAATAAGGACTGTAGAAGCTTCTTCAAGCTGAGAACCAGCAGACAACTCTTAAGGAAAGAGAGAGGGAAAAGAAGAGGTACCTCTCTCCTAGCGAGCAGGACACGGAGGCTCCCACAATCCTCCGCAGCAGGTCCAGGGGTCCCCAAAGGTGTGGATGGAAAGGCGAAGAAGGAATAACTCAGAGACAGCGTTCAGTTGATCAGCAGCCTAGCCAGGATCTGTATCCAAGTTCTGTCTTTTATTGTCTTGTTACATCTGTATTTATACCAGTTGATTTTAATCCTGTCAATTTCTATTCCAAAGGTTAGGGTGTTTCTTATCTCCATTCCAGGGAGTAAAGATTATGTAGCTTAAG